AGGCTGATGGCAAATTAATGATAATATGAAAATTGTAATTGGTCATTCAAGCCTTTTATGAATCATTCTTCGGAACAAAGCATTCACTGTGGGCCTGTGTGAAGTAACAAGGTTTCAAGCCAGCATGCCCTCAGAGTAATTTTTGTAAATGGCAGTATAGGTATTTGAGACTTCCTTAAATTAAACAAAGAGCTAAATTGCTGGAAGATGTCTTCTACTAATTTGAATTGCAATAATGATAACAATAATAATAATAAAAAATATTAAAAAAGGGAATCATAGTGTTGTTTTCCTTTACAATTCCTAATGCAATTTCTGGTCCGGTTTTGTAAGATTTTTGAAGTCCCTGGAACTAATAATTTATGTTTTCTACTCCTAAAACTGCATATTAAGTGCATCATGAGAATTATTATTCTGTAATTGCTGGAACTTTCGTAGCAGCCACAGTGATGCTTGACTTCAATATGAAGGAGATAACTGCATAAAGGAGAGATCCTGTTTCTAATTAAGAGATCTTGGGCGCTTACTTTGTGTCTGTGTATTGGTTTTCCTGTTTGCATAATGTAAAATAAAATTGTAAAATTTTTAAACAAAATATAAGTTTGTATCCACAATGTAGGAAAAGCAGTTAATTTTTGTGTCAGTTTTAAAAGAAGTTTATCTTTTTATAATCAGAATAATTATTCTTCGATGAATTAATTTTGACTGTTGTGCTGATACTTCTGTTTGCAGTATGTGGCAGGACCTGGTTTTGATGTTTCACTGATGTTACTTGAAATTCATGTGACACCTGATTTTTTTGTTTGTTTTTTGGTTTTTAAATAAAGACAAGTTTTTAATATGTTTGTTGTGTTAAGTGAATTAGAACTCAGGCTGGAAGAGAGACATTTTGTACCATTCCTCTGGTTGGTATCTTCAAAGACAACATAACTGCCTAGGTTTTACAAGCCAAAGATTTACCTGTTGTAAATCAGTACAGGTGATATTTTAGTGGCTTTTGTTTAGCATCTGTTACTTTATAATCTTATTCTTGTTTGGTTAATGCATCAAACGCTTTGCCTGGAAGTCAAGGTAAAGCTGTGCTGCAGTTTAATTACATATTGTCTGTTTCTGGATTGCACTGATAAGTGTTTAATTAAGTATGTATGAAGTGCTTTAAGCTAGTGTCTGATAAAATATGGGTACACTGAAAACATTTCATTTGCTAACTGTCAAGGCTAGATGGGTCAGTAATCAAAGCTTTATTTCTACTTCCTATATGTTGCAGTTCTCCTACAACTGGCAAGTGATGCTTTACCAAATGATACAGCTTTGTCTCTTGCCTATCTACTTGCACTGCCGCAGGTATGTTGATAATGATTTGATTTGTATGTTTTTGCCAGGAAAGACTGTTCATAGCATTTCAGAATTCCATAAGAAAATGTGATTTCCTTAGAGTTTTAAAATCAAAGTAATTGAATTATTTAAAATACACATTAATATAGATCGGGCTGGTACATTTAAAGGAAATGCTGAACAGATGCTTTTGGACTGGCTTGCAAGTGTGGCACTGACAGATGCATTTTCTTACTTAACATAGTAGTTGGGCCATGTGACTGACAGTTCTAATGTAGTTTAGAGATATGGATAATAACTTTGTGGTACAGAAGCACCAAAACTAGTTGGAAAAGCATTTTGGTTAGCTGTTTGTGCAAGGGGGAAAACATCATAATGTAGAATTGTCTTTGTGTGTGTAGGTTACTGACTTACGTGCTAGAAGTACATAGTCAAGGCTATTTCTAAATCACAGCAAGTAGCTTTTTTAGAAAGTTTGTGCACTTAATGTTGTGTGCTTGCTAATTCTTCCATCTAAATTAATGCTTTCTCCTAGGTTGTAGATGCCAACAAATGCTTTGAAAAGCAATTACATTCTGTGTTATCTCTCCAGCTGGCAAGTTATTACTATAGCCTGCAGATCTATGCTCGTTTGGCACCGTGTTTCAAGGACAAATGCCACCCTCTCTACAGGGTTAGTACTCCTTATTTTTAAAACCATATTCATTAATGTGTCACATTAAAGTTATACTAAAAAGCCAGTGCATGAGTTAAGCCTGTTAAGGAGCAGATCTGACTTACACTGTGAGCAGCCTGTTAAGTTACACATAATTATTCTTCTACAGTGCTGTAGACAGACAAGTACTTCACAATTTGTGGAAGAGTTTTAGAAGGACGATATCAAGTGTCATTTATAGGCAATAGCACTGAGCATTATTGCTCAGCTTAGGAATGCTGGGGAATAATGAGCATAGCCTGTTAACTTGCAATACTGATACAATACAGTATTTCCTAGAAAGAGTAAAGTATACATTTCAACAGGAAAAGTATTGTTCAAAAAAGTTTCTGTAGCCTTCTTCGAGATGTGTTATTTTATATTTCAGTTTGCCTGTGATGTTTTCAAAAGTCATCCTCAGTTACTGGTGAATTTGTTGGTTTCCTTTGACAAGTGTCCTTTTTTGAAATGGCACGGCTTTGCTTTCTTACTCGTCACCGGCGATTAAAGCAGTTACATGGTAAACTGAACTAAAGCAAAGAGGTGGCGTTTAGTAAGGCAGCAATCGCCATTCCTATTAATGTACCTGAATAAAAACTCTTCTTTGACACACCCAAGAGAGACTTAACTGAGTTTACACCAGTCCTTTCCTCTTTTACGGAAGGTCTAGTGACTGCTTGGTTTTCAACTTAGTTCTGCACAAAAAGAACACTTCTGGTCACAAGTTCTCTGAAGAGAGAGACCACTGATCACCACAGTGGCATAAGAGGAGATTTATTTTCCATGTTCGGAATGACTCCCAATTTACAGAGGAAAGGATTTTTTTATACTCACCCAGTTCTGCAATTAGCCAGCCTTTGATGTTCCCGCTGAGATTTGTGTTCTGTTATCTTCTGTTTAGAAGCTAAAGGAAAACTTAACCCACAACTGAAATTTGCAGGGCTTGTAAAATATGTTGGTTGTGAGGAATACGTTCATGTTTGTTAAATAGCTTTCTTTGAGCCTAGGTCCACCTGCTGCAAGACACCATTTATGAAAAAAGATATATTTTTTTTAGCTTAGGTTTTTAAACAATCTTACTTTATAGAAAGAGTTATGAAGCCTTTAGAAAGAGTAAGTCATAAGAATGAGGACAGAGATGTTAAAGATTGAACTATTTCTGCTCCAATTGCAGCTTAATAAGCAGTCTTATCAGTAGCACCATGTAGTCTATCTCTTACGGTATGATCTTTGGCTAAATCTTCCATTCCATCAAAATACCATATGTGACAGTGATAAGCAGTGGATTATAAGTTGTTTGATAAAAATAATATATACTATGTTTAAGTACTACTCTTAAGCAGTAGCTTTTGAAAACAATTGTATGAAAAGATCCTGAATGAACAGTACACCAATTAAAAGAAGTCCTGAATTACCAGTAAGAAAACAAGACAGGAGAGTACATTCATTATTACTGATGGGTATCCAGTGTGGGAATGTCACTGAAGTAGAACACGAGAATTAGAAACACATGCTTTTGAGCGAAATGCTCGGTTTATACTGCAAAACAGCCGCTTGCTTAAGTGTGCATCTTAGATGCTGGTAGTAAATAATGGCTCTGCTTGCAAGTTGCTTTCCTCAATGCCATACCAGTTGCTGTTCATGGGAATAGATCTAGCCATGTTTTTTATTTTTCTATTTCTTAAGAGGTTGAGGGGTAAGGGGGTGGGATGAGGACCACAAACACAGTATCATTCCATAGTAGACTGTGTTCCAGATCATGTCACTGGTGTCTTACATCACCTTTATCTTCGGACTTTCTCAAAACAGAAAGGTATTTCTGGGTCCTTTAACTGCATGCAAATGCATTCAAAGCAATGCATTATTCTTGGAAGATAACTGAGTGTATTTTCACGGGTGAAGGTGTATATCCAATCCTACCTCCCCCCCGCTTTTAAACATTTATATATTAAGCAAAGATCTAAATCTGGCACTTCAGCGACATGCTTCGAAGACATATCCTCAAGATCATAGAGAATATATTTCTGTTTAACAGCATCTGAGTTACAGTAAGTGTGATTTGTCTAGTCCATGGAATTAAGTATCTGTATGAAAACTAGCTGAATTTTTAAGAAGCTGAATAGAAACATGGAGAATCTACACTTCTATGTTTACTTTAAAATAGCATTGTATAATGCTATTTTCAAAACAGTATGTGAGTACCTCTAACATAATGGGAGAAATGTTCTCAGAATGAAAATGTCAGATGTGTTATAAGGATAATGGGGAGTGAGAGTTCCTCTTCCGCTGGCTAAGAAAGACTTTTAGGACTTGCTAATTAATGAAGAAAGACATTTTGAAGGATTGATAGGGTCTGTTGCATGAAGGCTTGATTTTTTTTTTTTTTTTAAATTTTTTTTTACTGTGGCATAAAATAATGACAGCCAGTATCTGCACATCAAAACAGAATCATAAATTGCCAGAAATTCTCATTAATGTCTTTTGTACTGTTGATGTCCAAAAGGAAATTGGCTTGAAAATTTCTGTTTCTGATGGAGTTATTACTTTGCTTTAAGGACAAAGAAAGTGATTTGGATGAAAGTGCTGCTTTAGTTTTGTATCCAGGACAATTTTGAATTTTAGTTGGTCTAATAATATAAAAGTTATAATGTAGGATCTGAACTGTTTTAGTTTCCTGTCCTGAGGAAGACATTAAGAGAGCTCTATAATCAAATAAATCAATAGATAAAGGTCAGTAAGGATAATGCCACACAGGAGAAGAGGAAAAAAAAAATCCAGAAATGGACTGGCTGTGGAAAGCATTGATGTGAGGAGACTTAATACCCTTTGAGAAGCTATATTTAATTTGGGCTTAGGTCTCTACTGGGCCTGACAGCAATGGCGTTAACTTTCTTCATAACAGCTCCTATGGTTCCATGCTTTGCATTTGTGGCCGGAAGTGTTGATAACACACCGATGTTTTGGCTGCAGCTGAACCTCACTTGCGTGGCATCATGGCTGTCCCCTCCCCACCACTCTGATTCACCACTTACTACTTCCCAGTCTTGATGATTGAGAAGAAAATCCATACAGCTGAGCAAAAAATTCACTGGATAATTTTTGCTGTTTAGTCCTCACTTGTCCTATCCTGGTGATGTAAGAGTGACCAGATTAAATATTGGGGGATTATTTACTCTAGAAAGGAGTGAAAACGTTTGATTACCATCAGGTTAATTAATATATCATTTCTGTCCTCATACTAATAATCTAATGCTGAAGTGTTTGTGTGGGTTTTGAAGAGGAGTTTTTTTACTGACCTTAGCTGGGGACAAGCTTTTCCATGGAGCATCATTAACAGTTCTAAGAAATTGCCAGTTGCAGGGGGGAATGGGAATTTTGGAATTAATATCAGATGAGGGAAGTTGCTGTCAGCAGAAAATTCTTAGGTTTTTATTTTATTCTCTTACCTGTTATTTTCATTCAAGGAAACAAGTTTGATTCCTGCCCTTTTGTACATTGCAACTGGCAGTATGTTGAAATGGTAACCTCAGAGATTCTCCTCTAGTGATGCTTTTGATGCAGCCTAGAGTTGGTGAAGAAGCTGGGAGTTCAGTTCCATGAAGTAACCTGGTAGACCTGGCTTTTGCATCAGTTTGTGAAAGGGTGAATTTATACAATGAACTTGTGCTCTGTGCACTTAACCTGCTTCGGTTTTCTGCTGCTTGCTGCTTAGGGAAGCCTCTATCAGTCTCTCTCTGAGAGGCAGAATTAGGTCTGTTTTCCCCTCACATAAATTCACTGTCTGCAATGTAGGGAGTTTTCCTGTTTTTCTTCATTTTCTCTCTCTGTATCACAGCCATTGTGTATTTTAGTTCCCGTGCTGTTTCTCCTTATTCCCGTCATTGTTAGACCACTCTTTCTGCCTATTCACAACTCCCTTTGCAGGACCATATTTAGCTTTTCTAAATTACCCTCACCGCAATGGCATCTGTAGGCTTTAAGTGCATGAAGCGGCTGTGACAAATATGTCATGTGTGTCTTATTCTCTCTTGCTCCCTTCTCCTTAGGGGAAAACCAGCATGTGGAACACTTTTAAAATCGTTACGTGCTGATACATGTGTGGGGTTTTTTTGTCTTGTTTGGTATCGTTTTGGGTTGTTTTGTTTTTTTTTTTCCATTAACGAAAGCAAGGTCAAAAGAAGAGTGCTTTGAACTTGGGACTGAATGTGTACAAATTTGTGTTGTTTTGATGGGATTTCATTCTGCAGGCTTGACCTAGCTCCAAGGCAGTTTTGTTGCTTATTCATGTAAGGTTGACCTTAATTATAAATACAGTTATATAAGCCAGAGAAACAGAACTCCCAGCCATGGTCCTTATGCTACAGCTGTAGAATAATATTCTGAATGTAGGATGTTGAAAATCAAGACTTCATTTGACATGGAAGTAAATATTGTGTAAGAAGGCTGTATACAGGAAGACGGGGAGAGGCAGACCTTATGAGCTACCAGATTTTGTCTCAACATTCAACTTTTTGTCCATAAACTTAATGGTTAGCATTAAGTCTGTTGTAGCTGATAAAATGGTCATGCTCTTTATTGTTGGTTTATGATGGTCTTAAAACATGACCTTATTTATATTCAAAAGTTCTCCTGAACCAGCAGTCACTGTGGATGTTTTTGAACATCTTCCACTATGATCCCTGAAATAGTGATCCAGCAATTAGTGACATTGCAGTCAGATTGTGACAGCTATGTTCCTTTGGTCGAGGTATGTTTGATAAAGCCGGTGTTTCACAGATCCTATTATTGTAGTAAACACACAACACTACAAAGCATCACCATTCTTAACTGGGACCAAGTAATATTTAGGTGATTCAGAAAAGAGCTATTGTTAAATAGTTGCAGGGGTTTTTTTTGTTTGTTTTGTTGGGTTTTGGTGGTTGGTTTTGGCTTTGTTTCTTTTCTTTTTGGAGGGGTGAGGGTGAGTGTAAGGGTTGTTT